GGCAGGCAGCTCATGATTGCAGTTCTTCTGTCACTCCCCCTCATGCGTGGGCCAGAGACCAGATTTTTTTTCAATGTGGTCCAGTGAGTCCCCAGGGCATGGCCTTTGGGCCTCCTCTAGGCTCCATGTTCAGAGTCCCTAATGCATGGAGGGACATTGCCTTGGTACTGTGGGAACATAGACTCTGGAGCCAAGGGGCAGGCTTAAGTCCTGCCGTGGGAGCTGGGGACTACACAAGCTCTGTGTGCCTGGGGTTTACCTCTGTACAGTGAGGTCCTGGGATAGAGCAGCTCTTCCTCACCAGAGTTGCTTGTTGGACTCAAAATATTGAAGTGTACAGTACTTTGAGCAAAGCCCAGCAGCCTGGGAACAGGTGCTCCAATCTCCTTGAAAGCACAGACTCTTGCCACAGGTGACACCTGCCACAGGTGTAAAGCTGAGGGCCCTGGACCCTGGGTGCAAATCCTGTCTCTGCCCATCCTGGTGCTGTGCTGTCTTGCAGGTGGCTTCCCCTCCCCTGTTCAGGGTTTGCTGTGGGTGCTGAATAGGTCACTCTGCCAGCCACTCACTTGCCTCTCATGGAGCACAGCATTGTATGAATGGTCAGTCATGCCACAGACCTGGACACTACCCCCCTCCTGGCTACCTGCTGTCCTGAGGGCAGCTCAGCTGTGACTCCCAGATGCCATGGCTAGCTCTCTGAAAACAGTGGCTACTTCATGCAGATGTATGTGGTACACAGGCACCCGCACTCTGCTCCCCCTGCATATGATGGGTACCCAAAACTTCATCTGTGGACAGGAAGAGAGAGGAGGGAGGCTATTCCTGATCCTCCCTCTCCATGCATCAGGTGTATAAGTAACCCCGGCCACTGGCACCCCTAAGGACCTAGATCCTACGGCAGCCTGGTGCCCGCCCACGGAGTCATTTCTGCAGCCTAGCTCTGCCCCCGCCTCCCTGTGACAGCAGCAGGGTGTGGGGTCGGCTGGAAGGAAGGACTTCCTCCTGAGGACTTCCTCCTCCATTTGTACAGGGTGGGCACATGCCTTAGTTTCTGAATTAAGACTGTCTGAATTGCACAGCCCCAGGGCTGTGTCTGTCTGTGGCTCTGTGATGCGAGAGGCAGAGGCAGCCCAGGACGTCCGCTGGAGCCTTGGGCCATGGGAGTGTGTGATCGGTTGCCAAGGCTGTGCACTCGGAAAGCTGTGGAAGAAGACAAAACCAAGTGCCCCCGGTCCCTAGCGCAAGACCTGGAAGCAGAGCGGATGAGTCCAGTTTTGGCGGTCTGGGCATCTTCACTTGCTGGTTTCTTCTGCTTTGAGACCACTCTGCTGAGCTGCTGAGCCTGTCCCTGTGACTAACCCTCCCCTGGGGCTGGCCTGCCCTGCCGTTCATGGAGTCAGCACTGGGCAGCCTCTCGTGGAAATGCCCTCCAGGCCCATCTCCATCTGTCTGGCTGGCTTCTTCCAGAAATCCAGCCTGAGCCTCTCTCCTCCTGGGACTGCAGGGATGTCAGACTGGAGAGGCAGACTCATTGTCGCTCATTTCTAGCTTTGGCTTGGAGACACCAGAAACTGTCTGCCTGGCCTCAAATTGCAAGCACAGTCTGACAGGGCAGCCAGCCGAGGGGTGGGGAGAGAGGCAGCCATGCTACAAGATGCCAAAAGAGCTGTGGCAGACAAATCAGGCACCTGCTGCAAGCCAGGCGCTGCGGTCAGGACGCTGGCACAGGTGCTGGAGCAGTGCCTGTTGTGGTTAGGTCAATGGGTACCTTCTCTTCTTTGTACTTCCCGGTACTCAGGTTCAGAAGGCAGGGCTGCAGGCAGGAGCCTCCTTACCCTCCCTTGGTTGATGGGGGAAGATCTGAGTGTCCTACAAGGGGAAAAGGAGCTTGGCATGTGTGGAAGACTTGACCTATGAGGCCAGGACGGCATTCCTGTAGCAAGTGGGAGGAGGCAAGGCTGACTTCAGCTTCAGAGCCAAGTGGCCTTCACTTGGAGTGGCAGGTGCTTGGCGTTGCTCACATCTGGTCCCCGATGTCTGTTTTCTCATCTCGCTTTCCCCTTCTAGCTTTCCTGTGCTGCTCAGTGGTACACTGCAGTTCACGAATGAAAAGCTGACATTCAGAGGGTTGTGACTTTGGTTAGTGAGAGAGCTGGGACTGGACTCCATGACCCTGACACTGCCCAGTGTACGTCAAGCTCATGTCAACTCTGCCAGTCCTACTTGTGGTTATCCTCCAAGACAGGTGGTTACTGGTGGAAGTCCCATACTAATACCCAAATGGCGAGTTGTGAAAGGCTCCGTGTGGGTAGCTGTCACTCTGGGCGCCCTGTCCTGCTTCCTAAACCCCACCCCTCATTGGTCGGGGCTTCCTGCTTTCCAGCGCATGTGCTGCTGTGATGTCATGTTCGGTGTCGACCCGACCCCATCACTAGGCAGGCAATAGGAAGTGTGGGTGAGAGCTGCCTCGTGCACATTCAGAGTTTCCTTCCTCCTCTCTCTCTGGTTTGCATCTCCTGCCCTCATTCCACCTCGATTCCCTCATCTGACAGAACCAGGGCCCTTTAAGAGCCCTGAGACTGAGGCCCAGGGAGGGAGTGGCCCCTAAACCCAGGCTGGCTGCGGCTGCATTCTCTGGGGGGAGTGAGTGGCTGCCTGGTGTCTTCCCTTTGATACTGATACAGGCATTTTAATAGCTGGACCCAGCAGGCGGCTGGTGTTTCAGTGCTGGCCATGCAGGGCATTCCAGGGGGCCCTGGCTGCCAGTGGGGATGCAGCAGAAAGTGCCTCTGTCCCAGGGTGGCTGGCGGTCCACTCCAAAACCTTAGAGACTTTGCCACCCATTCCCTACCCTCCACGCCTCGGCCTGGGGATTTCTCACCAGGGGACTTAAACTCAGGTGCCTAAGGGAGCCAGGCTGCTGGTCTCAGTCAGTGAACTGGCCACAGCGACATTGGCTCTCTGAAAAGGGAAACCACCACACACCTCCACCTGAGGGTCCTGTGGCCCAGAATGGCCAGACCCTGCTTTGTACAGGAGTGACCAGGAAGAAGCAATGGGACAGCTCTTTATCTGTAAACAACCGACATCACTGCATGCCAGGCCTGGGGCATGAGTGGGTTGGGAAAGCAAAGGACTCACAGTGTCCATGTGCTGGGACGATTCCCATGCTGGTGGAGAAGGGAGGCAACACAAAAGTCAGAACGTACACATATATATGTACACACACATACACACACACACACACACACACACACTCCAAAGGAAGAACTGAAAAAGGGAGGAAGTAGGAAATACCTTGGCAGGGGAGAGAGTGTGACAACAGGTAAAGATGGCATCCCCAAGAATGTGTGAAGTGGGAGACCAGAAAGTGCAAAGGCCCTGTGGCAGGAGAAAGCCTACCAGGTGTGGGATATCAAGCAGCCAGCACAAACTCTGTGGCTGCTGGGTTAATCCTGGACTGTGTGGGCAAGGGCAGGAGCAGCAGGCCCACGAGGTTGTTATAGTCACTGGGTGGGGGGATGGAGGTTGTCTCGATGGTGGTGGTGGTAGGCTCAGCTCCTGGGTGTTCCTGCAGGGAAAGAGCAGGAATGGGGAGTGGGGTGAGTGCAGGAGGCTCCAGAGATGGGTGGCAGTGGCAGGGTGTGGGTGCTATTACCTGCGGTGGCACAGTGAGATGAATATGAGTCTTCCGTCACAGCACCCAACTCAGGGCCAGGGCACAGGGAGGGCTCGGTGGACATCAGCACACTCTGGACCTGGCGGAATCTTCCCGATGCTTTCTCCCCACCACACATCAAACATGACACCTGCTTCTACAACACCTCCCTGTGGCCCATCCTGCATGGCAATGTCACACGACAAAGAGGGAGCGAATGCTGGAGAATGGCCTGAAGTTGGCTGGCTACTCGCCACCATTGCAGCAAGGCAGCAAGGCAGTACCCTGACTGTGATGGGTCATTGCCAAGTGATTTGCACATGCTGCGAGTTCAAAGCCCCCCAGTCCTACAGGAGGGATTGGAAATGTGAATTTGTGTGTGAAACTACCTGCTTCAAAATGCTGGCAACTAATTCAATAATAATAACAACAATAACAACAGCTGCAGTAGCACAAATGAAGTACACCCTGAAGCCAGCCACCTGCTTCCAAGGGAGGCCTAGCATTGGAGCGTGTGGGCTCCAGTTTCAGGACTGCTCCTCACCTGGCCCAGAACCCTGGCTGGGTCACAGGCCACCCATCAGATGAACACATCCACAGTGCAACATCCCATTGGCTCTGGTGCTGGTCTGGCCCATTTTGCCACTGGCATCTGGGGAGAGCCCTCCTGTAAGGCATGTAGCCCATGGCCCTTTATGCAGGTGTTGGGCCTGTAGGTTCCTGCCTTGTATGTCCCTTTCGTAGGTGATTGACCCTTTCCAATGCTTTCAGGGTCGGGGTGTCCTCTTGGGTGTCTCTTACTCTTTGGCGTCCTCTGATGGGCTCAGGGGTTTGCAGTTGGTGAAGTTTGGTGGAAGGGAGCCTTCCCAGCCTCCCTGCTCCCCACCTGCACCCAGCTTGCCTGTGCTGGCTTTGGGTGGAACACCAGGAAAACAAAGGGCACTGTCCCTGCCTCAGGACTCATCAGAAGCCCAGAGTAAGATGGGGACAATTAGCAGAGAGCTGAGGAAGGCATGTAATTGTGAGCCTGAGTGTGGGGGTACAGGAAGGCTCCAGCCGGCTGACAGGGCCCCCCTGGCCTGGGGTTAGTTTCTTTTCAGAGCACTTGGAGGACATCAGACACACAAGATTTCCAGGATGGGCCTGCTGCTCTGCTTCTGATTAGTTAGACGCCTGGTGGTCAGCCTTTGATCCAGACGCGGTCCACCTGCTAGCTCTGCATCCCCGCCCCATTTTGTGGACCCTTCCCCTCTTGCCTCCCCACCAGCCATTAGAAATTTTCCAGGGCCGCATGTTTTATGAGTTCCCAGTGATACCTCTCCTCTGTTTCCTTATACAGAAATGGAAGCTGCATTCGAGGAGGCGCCGGGAGGCCCCAAAGATGTCTCCAGGATGTAACTGCCCACCAGGTAAGCAGCCCTGCCAATACGTGAGGTCAGTGCTCCCAAGATGGGCACCCACAAAGGGCCTTGCTGTCTGCATGACTAGAACCACTGCTTGTCATTCAAATATGACCATCCAGCCACTCATCCACCCAAGAATTTATCTACTTATACATCCATCTGTGCATTATGCATTTTTTTCATCCACCTACCTATTGTTCATTCACTCATTCATTCATAAATTCTCCTCTGGGCCTGATTCTTTGAGCCAGGTTGTGAGGAAGTCAGTTAAGGAAATGAGGCACAATCCTGTCTGGAAACCGCAATGTGCTGTGCAAAGTAGAAGGAGCCTCTCAAGGCAGGGACCAAGTTCATCCCTTCGCTTTTGGGTCTCAAAGCAAAAACACAAAAATGTCAGCTTCCCGAATGAATGAATGAACAATGGCCTTGGAATCTTCCAATCTTGTCTGTCCTGGTCAGGTGGTGTAGGGCCGATGCATGTTCCATGTCAGCTCACTCCCATGGAAGCAAGACCCAAACTAAAGATGGCAAGAGGATATGATATAATACAGCTAACCCATCTGATCTCAACTTGTGTTTTGCATTTGTCGATTACTCGCCTGTTGAGGATGTCAGCTCTAGAGTTCCTTCACTATGTCTGCTTACCTTACTGTGTAGTCCTAGGCACCTGCTGTGGGCTGGACAACCGTCCCAGGCGTTGGGTTCAGGTGCATTGTTAGCACCAAGGAGAGGTGAGGGTTCATGTGTGATTGTCTCCAGATTCCAACCATGAGAAAGAAAAATGAGTGAGTTTCATTGTCCCATTGAGTAACCAAAATCAGCTGTGCTCCTTTGCAGGTGGGGACGGAGGATCCTAGAAAGGACTGGGGAGTGAAATAACACATTTAAGCACTCACAGAGAGTTTGCCTTGCTCAGCACCTCTGCCAGCCCGCAAATGGCTTCCTCCAAACTGCCTTCGGTGGGTGGCATAACAGGCCATTCTGATAGGTCCTTCTCTGGCCAGAGGAGCTGTGGGACCCCACTGACCCTCACCCCAGTTCCACAGGCCAGGAAAGAGAGACCAACAGCTGTTCAGCATATGGGGAATGGAGGGTGAGGGGATGACATTCACAGTGGAGTGAGTGTCCTGGACTGGGGGCTGCCTTGGAGCGATGAGAGCTTGAGGGATTCTGCTGGCCCCAATGCAGGGGAGGCTCATGGGGTTAATTAAAGGGCATCCAGAAGCCCTGGAATGCTCTTTCCTCCTGGAGACCCTGGGATCTGGGAACACTTCAGGAAAGGAATGCCAAGGTTAATTAGATGAGCTGGGAGTGCATGGACACTTCCAGGTTTCCCCGGCAGCCCACATTTCCAGGGAGTGTCTGGTGTCCCTGCTACACCCGACTTAGGCTGGATGTGTCTAATGTGGGAGATCAGGTAGCCTGGAACACGCGGGTTAGGATGTCACCTCTACTGCTTCTTGGCTCTGCGACCATCAAGTGCTGTTGGGCCTCATCATGACTTCGTTGTCTCCTCCAAAAGATGAGCATCACAGGCACCTGGGGGAGACTGAGTGAGGTGACCCTGGATAGGGGCTCACTTAGTCCCTGGTCCCATTCCTCTCACACTATTGTAATTTCCTGCATGGCCTCACACACCTGGAATTGCATGGGCGTCCTTGCCCAGTGTGGGTCCCCATGTCCATATTTATGGCCATGCTGAGGCTTGCCCATAGCCCTCCCCTGCCCAACTAGGGAGACATGGCAGCTGTTACACAGCCTTCAGGTTCCCTACTGGTCACCAGGTAGATGCCAGTGGGTCTTGAATTTGTGCTGTGAGCATCTAGGATGTCTGGGAGCTGAAGGAATGGGAAAGGAGGAGTGGCACAAGGGAGGAGGGATGAACTTTCCTTTCCCCCTGGATCCTGAGAGTCCACATGAGAACAGGGATCTCTGATGGCTAGAAGAGGGGGGCATGAGAGCAGGGATACCCTGGGGCGTGGGAGCAGGGATACCATGGGGAGAGGGTAGGCCTGGGGAGAAGCTGACCTTCTGTGGGGAGGGGGCCACCATCAAGACCAGGCTGTCCAGCATGGGAAGATGGGTATTCCTGGGTGTGGAGAATTTCTCAGGGGGCCAAGTGGGGAGTGTCACGAGGATTTAAGAGAAGGCTTTAGCGCTCACTTTGGCAGCACATATACTAACAGAAGGCTTCAAGCTGAGGCAAAAGTAGAGTGGGACTCAGGTACAGGTTCCCAGGGCAAAGTATGTTACCTCCTGCAGATCCTCCTTCTTGCACCATTTCCTGGCATACCACCTGTCCCTATCACACCACTACTGCCCCTAATGGGCAACCCTAAGCACCAGGCCCAGTTGGGGACTGGAGACATGCAGTTTTGACTTTCTCAAATGTTTACACATCTTCCAACAAGGACTAAAAGCACCACTCTCAGGCTTGCGCCTGAGCCATGCATCTGATTGTTGCCTTGGGGACTGAGTTACAAACCACTTCACAAAGTGCTTCCCAGCTCCTGGTGCTTGCGGGGGCGCCTGTATGGTTGTGAAGTGCTGGGTTCTCATACACAGTATGACTCACTCTCCTATCTGTCCTGTATGTAACAGACTCCCAATGAATGTGCAACAAATTATCATTACTAGTCCCTCCCAGGGCCTGGGTTCTTTCTCCTGTTCTGCATCTGCCATCTGATTAGTTTCAGACGCCTTCCTCTCCCCTCCCCTCGCTGGCCTGATGCTGGGATCACTGCTGTAAGCACACTCTTGCTGTCTGGGGAGCCCACCAAGCCTGTGCCTGCTCCTAGCTTGCCGGTGTGTTTATGGTGAGGCCGGGGACAGTAGAGGAGGGACCCACAAGGCTGTGATGAGGTGTGTCCTTCCTTGGGGCAGCACCCAGAGGGCTTGAGACACAAATTTGTGGACAGAAAACCTGCCTCCATCCCTTGTCCCTTTCTACTCTGACCTCATCAGCATCCTCCTGGCTACTCCTGGTCCCAAAATAACCATCAATGGCTGAGAACTGCAGAATCCTGCTGCTAGACAGCCGGTATTCATTGTAGAGAAAAGCAGTAAGGAGCAAGGGGCTTGCAGGCCTGGGATGGGAGGCTGAAGGTTAAGCCTCTGTTAGGAGGGTTCAGGGTGACCTCAAGTTCAGAGCATGGGTGTGGGCTGTTTGCAAATCCTGTGTCCCCAGGGAACCTAAATCCATACCGTGGGACTTCCTGGGACACTTGAGGCGAAGACAAAGCTCGGGAAACACTCCTATTCTTTCTTGCCCCTGCTCTTCTAAGTGAGTGAGGTGCAGGACAATATAGGGTCCAGCCAGGAAGGAAGTAGCTTCTTGAGGCCCACTGTGCTGGGGCTGGGTGGGACTGCCCTATCTCTAGCCCTGGGTGGAGCTGGCAGTGTGCAGGACAGGGTAACATGCTGCACACTGGGTAAGCCAAGGCCAGCTGAATTGCTGCAACAGGTCACTTGCCCTTGCCCAGCCTTGTCTGTGAGGGCCAGCAGAAGCTGGAGTTCTACCATGGCCACCGGGTGAAGAGGCATGGAACCACCAGAATGCTTGGGTCAGTTCTGCTCATTAGCATCACAAGTGATGCTGGTGGAGAGCAAGAGTTGAGAAAAGAGAAGCCCTTAGCCAGGCTGGTGGCTGGGATCACTGCCATCCTTTCACTCCAAACATGTTGGTGAATGATATGTGTGAAGAGCTGGGTACCCCGAAAAGAGCCTGGAACTCCAGAGAAGGTAGTGCTGGCCTTGATCATAGGAGCAAGGGAGCAGGTGTAAGAGCATATGTTACTTCCATAACCGAGGACACAGGCACAGGGATTTACACACTGGTAGAGGCATGAGTCTCTCTTCCTTGGCCGGACAGAGGATAGAGGTCAGTGCTGGGGTAGCTCTGTCAACTTAAACTGTGCTTTCCACCTCTGAGCCTCTGGTAGCTGCTTGCGTTTATGCCCTCCCCTTGCCAGCACCAAGGGGAAGAGGACTAGGGGGCCGGGGGGAAGAGGGTGGAAAGAAACATCAAGGTTGCGAGGGAGTTCTGGCTGTGTCTGTCCAACAGGAAGCCAGTGTGTTCATCCTTAGAGTGAGTGAGTGGTCATGACTGCCTGGGAGGGCTGTGCGGAGCTGGCTTCTGAAGCTGTAACCATCATCATCATTTAACAATGTCCACTGTGAGTGCGGGAGTGGTGGGCAGCAGCACCTTGTCCCTGGCTGTGTCATCCTTCCAGGGGCCAGGGAAAGCACAGGGAGCAGAGGTGTGGTCTGATCTGATTTGTATTTTAGAACAACTCACCATGATACAGAGAATGGCTGGGAGGGGAGAGCGGCCCTTCTCAGCAATGAAAGTCTGCGCTCCCATGGACATAGCTCCATTTTCCCTTGAGCAGCTGTGGATGTCTGGGCTGGCCAGCCTTTCCATCCCTGGTTACTTTCTGCAGGTGGTGAGGGCTGGGGCCATGCCTCTGCAGCCTTGCCTTGGGCCAGCCTTGCCCCATATTCCCTGGCACCAGATTTTGCCCTGAACATCTTCAAGATATGTACACGAGCAGGGCCTGTGGCCAGTGCTTATGTCCCAGAGTGGGTTGAGATGTCATTGTGTTGTCCCCAACGATCAGCACAGAGGGCATCCCAGGCATGCCATAACTCCCAACTTTTTCTCTGTGGCCTTGCTGATTTTTGTTAACCCAGAAAAGCCAGATTGCAAACAAACAGGCCGCTTGGTGCCATTAATGGAGAGAGGAGGAAGGATGGAGGCACACAGGATGACTTAGGGAGAACAGGTGGCATGGAAGTGCCTGACCTTGGTCATAGAGCAAAGAAGCCGATGCAAGGGTGTGTGTTAGATCATGGGTCCTACTATGACCATAACCAAAGACTCCCAGACACAGGGAAGTGCACACAAGTCATCCACGAGTTCCTTCTGAGTTGTCCCTGGCTGTTCTAGCAAGCAGGTCCCCCCCAGGGCCAGCGTCACAAGAGAGTCTTCTGCTTGCTGGATTATG